AAGGTCGGCCTGCAGCGCGGCCCGGAGGCGCGGAAGAGGCAGTTCGGTAACGGAGCTGTCGTGCTTCGGCTTCTCTCCGGCCTGGCCGGGTTGGGGGAGTCTGGGCGGGCGACTCCGCGGGGGGCTTGGGCCGGGGGAGCGGCGTTGTGGCGGTTTTTTAAGGGAAAATAAAAATAAAAATAAAAATCTTTGCTGAAAGAGGGAGCTCCTGAGCACCGAGGCTCTGTGCGTTGCACTGGTAGCCCGGTGGCCTCCATTCGCTTTTACACACGTGGTGGCTGGATGTGGGAGAACTGGGGATTTACTGCGGTGTGCAAGCATGTTTGGTCTGTGTAAATAAATCCTAAAATACGTAATTTTTGAAGATTGAGATGTGTCATCGCAATGCTAGAACTTTAGTGGTCAGTAATACTGACTGCTACAACATGGGAACGTAGCCTTGTCCTATTTTGTGTCATTTATTTTTCTTTTGCCTTCTAGTGTCTAAGCCGGGTCAGCCCGAGGATGCTGGCAGACAGCTCAAGAAAAAGAGGAGAAAGAAATCCAAGAAGGAAGCTGAGAAGAAGAATGCTCCTTCAGTCAAACAGACAATCTCTCCTGCCAGTAAACCTGCTGCGGGACAGAAAGCAGCCCCTCAAGCCAGCAAATCCCCCCCAGAGGGTGTTCCACAGAGCCAAACTGGGGGTTTGGTTGCAGGTAAGAATGCTGGTGTTGCCGTGGGCGGGGTGAAGTTACCCGAGCTGAGGTGGCTGCTTTTCAGTTGCTTCACACAAGCGTAGTTTGGAAAGCCTTTAAATTCAGCTGAATTTAAAACATCTTTGCTTATTCCACGTGCCCTAAAAATTTGCCTGTGTACATACATTTGTAACGTCACTACTGGGTGGCTCTCGGGAAATAGCATTTAAACTGAATTGCAGACTTTTTATGTATTTGGGTCACTTCTGGGAATTATTGCCCGGGTATGATCTCTGTCGTGCCAGGCCAGCTTTCCGTCGTGACTCTGAAAAGCCGGATCCCAACGAAAGGCTGCCCTCGGCTCTTTGCTTCCACTGGTGGTGCTTGCCTTCGGGCTTGTTGGGCAGCCGCCGGGTGTGCCAGGCCGCTCTGCCTGGCGGTGCTGAAGGATAACACGGACGGAAGAGGGGGAATTCTAAAGAAACCAATGAAATAGTAACTCTCGGTTTCTCTAGATTTTCCTTTCTATTCACAGCATCTGAAGAGTTCTCGGACCTTTTCCCAAAGCCGTAGAAAATTCTCCTGTTTAGCTAGTGCTGTCTGCTCCATGTTTTTATTTTCTCCCTCTGATTTTCAGGGAGCAAAGGTGACGTGGGTTCCCCTTCTTTTTCTGCGATGAATCTCCTGCGTCAGAGACTCCATGAGAAGATTAAAAAAGCTTCTGGACAAGTATTAGAGCTCTTAATGTGTATCCACGAGTGTGTTTATGCAGTGGAAATTCTCACTGGCCTCCCGGGGGATGTGGGGACAAGATTCCAATGTGACAAGGCTGAGGGTTTGAGCTAATTCCATCCCCTGAGGCCGTGTCTTTAGGTGTTGCTGGGAGACCTGGGTGTATTCTGTGGTCTGGGAGAAAAGGGAGGGCCTGGCCTGGAGGAGAGCGTGCCTCTGGTGAATTTTAGGAAAGGGAAACACACCAAGAGCCTCAAAGCGAGCAGAGCTATGGGGTGTTGTGACAGAGTAAAGGGTTTCGAATGCCTTCGCTGTTTTTAGCATCTCTAAAAGTTGAGCCCACAGCTGCTTGTCATGAGTACTGTTTCTTAGGAGGAGTTTGAAATTGGGAGCTTGAGGACATCCCACTTTTAATTCTGTTTATCCCTTTAAGGCTCCTGATTCCTGTCCGTTTTCCTTCTTAGGATGATGCCAAAGAATTACCCCCTGCAGTCCTGGAGAAGAGGCAGAGAAGGAAGTACGAGAGAGAGAGAAAGAAGCGCCGAAGGAAGGAGTTGAAGATGAAGGCAAAAACGGAGAAGAAAGAAACTGAGGAGGTACCGGTAGAGCCAGAAAGCAAAAAGGAGGAGAGCACAGCTGAGATTGTCTTTAACAGGGTCGAAGTCCGTGAGGAGAATGAGCTGAGCAAGGTCCAGAAGAAGAAAGAGAAAAGGAAAGCAGTGAAAGGCAACATCACTCCTCTGACCGGCAAAAACTACAAGCAGCTGCTGAGCAGGCTGGAGACCAGGAAGAATAAGCTGGAGGAACTCAAGGATAAGGACCAGAAGAAAGCTCAGGAGCTGGAGAACAAGATGAAATGGACAAACGTTCTCTATAAGGCGGAAGGCGTGAAGATTCGTGACAACGAGGAGCGTCTGAAGGAAGCTCTGAAGCGTAAGGAGAAGCGCAAAGCGCAACGTCAGAGGCAGTGGGAGAAGCGGACGGAAAAAGTGGTGGAGAAGATGCAGCAGCGGCAGGAGAAGCGTCGCAAGAACATTCAGAAGAAGAAGAAGGACAGGATAGAGAAGAAGAAAGCCAGGGCCCGGAAGAAGGGCCGGGTTCTGCCGGAGGACTTGAAAAAAGCTGGCTTGAAGTGAGAGCTGGTCCTGGCAGCCTGGGCGCGGGGGTGGCTGTGCTACCGCTGCCCGAGGCAACCAGCTGAGGGGGTGGTCGCTGCCACGGCCGCTCAGCTTCGGGGTGAAAACCAGCGCGCCGTAGGGTTGTTCATTAAATTTCCTGTCCCAAAGAAACACCTCCTGATGGGTTGGGGTTTATTATTGTTTTCCTAGAGGGAACGAACGTGTCGGTTGCTGTCACTTCCTGGGCTGCGCTGTGCGGTGCTGGCCGTGGCTCCCAGAGCCCTCCCGCCATCGAGGGCCCCCCCTGGGATCACTCTCCTGCCATCGAGGCCTGCCCTGCGGGGATCACCCTCCC